CTAACAATACTTTTACTCTCAAACACGATCTCACACACTTCTCTCTTTGAACCCACAGTCAGAGATATTACTGTAAGACACTCGTATCGCCTCAACATCAAACCCTAAAATATTAAACTTAAAACCACACACACACACACACACACACACACACACACACACACACACACACACACACACACACACACACACACACACACACCAGTGTAATAAAAAATGAAATAAATAACCAATTAGTGGCAGCAGTCTTGTGTTGGACACGTACGTCTCTCACAGAAAGCGAAACGTCGAGCTCCGTTTGGCCCAAAGCAATCTGCTTGGCAATATGTTCCTGTGTTATTGTTGTTGCCCCCCAACCCCCACCCCTAATCTACATGGCTGAGATTACCAACCAACCGGCGCTCTGTCCTCGGCCCTATTTCACTAAACCGACAACGATCCCTCCAACAGGAATATTTGTTACAGAGCAGGCAGAAATCTGGTCAAACTAATCCGGGATTTCTCTTTGTTTCACGTGGGAATAAAAAACATGAGCTCAGATGTATGATCACTGTAAGCCTGTCAAATATGTTGATTAGGGATATGTTAAATATGGGAAAATAAAAGCAGCTTAGTGAGGTCGTCATGAACAGTCTGTTGTCGTTGAATAGAGCAGATTTGTTCTGAAGTAAAAGAAAAGGCTTGATTTATCAATTACATGCGTCTAAACGAAGTAGGTCTGGATCTTATAAAGCGGACAAATCCATCTTCAGCAATTTGACCAAAAAAATATATATCGTGAACATTAGTAAATAATTTAAGTTATTAATGCAAATAATTATCAAATTTGAGCTTCTCACTTCTCACAGCTTCTTTCTGTCATTGCAGACAGAATATTTTTAAGTTTAGGCCTTTTGTTCAAACCAAACAATATAAGTCACCTTGGACTTTTGAGGACTTTACACTATTTCTTTAATTACATTTATAGCCACATTTGTAAATAAAGGTTGTTGCTGTAATCTGTCTTTTTTAATTTTGGGTTATATTACATTACATTTCACTTGTTAGACGCTTTTATCCAAAGTGACTTACATACATTCAGTACTGTGGACAATCCCCACAGGAGCAATTTGGGGTGAAGTGTGTTGCCCAGGGACACAACGACATGCTGACTGCAGTGGGACTTGAACGTTCTACCCCCTGATTCGAAGTCCAGCACACTACCCACTGAGCCACAGTCCCCCTTATATATTGTTGTTTTTTTCTAGCCGCTTCACATTTCTTTTTAGTTCCTTCAGGTATATACTATTTAGTTCTTATTTATATAAAAGTGTAACTGTAGAATACTTTGTGAAACTAATCTTTTTATATCATGAAAACTACACCTAACATCATAAAGAAAAAACCCAAAATGGTTTGTTTTCTGCACACTTAAGAACCCATTTCGGCATCTGTCCTACCCTGAAACGCTTTTGTCTTTTTAAACTAAATGGAGCAAAATTATAATAATTTAAACTGAAATCAGCAGCACCTCCCGTCCCAGACTCATCTTTATAACACATATTTACCCAAACATCTCCCCATGAGCATAAAGCTGTCCTCACCAGATCCCGTATTGCACCTGTGTCCAACCTTTATGCATGTTTTGTTGTTTTGTATTCTTCTTATATTTTTGGTTCATGTTTTTTTGACAACTAACAATGTTTTTCTGTTTCTGAGAGCAGTTTCAATTCATTGTAACATTTTCACTCATGCAGCTGCTCCGCCTTTAAAAAAACACAAACAGATGGCTTTACACTGTAATTCACCGATTAAAGTTATTACTCCTAATTAAAAAGAAACATCATATTTGGTCTATATGAACTTCTAATGCTACTTCTGATTTTTGTATTTCTTTTCAACCACTTCAAATGTATTTTTAATCTTTAGGGTTATGGAATGGATGCATTTCTGGTTGGTGGTTCATTATTTTTACCCACAATGCACTTCTACAATATGCCGCGCAGCTGAGACCTCAACCTGTTTTTATGTTGTTGTTTTTTTGAGGATATTACAGTTCATCAAAGCTTAATAATTAGTGTATTTCTATAGATATATGTTGATTGAGCCTGAATGTGTGTGCGTTAGAAAATTGGCCAATCCAGGACGGATCAGTGATTCTCCAAAAACCTCTTTATCAAATCTGATCTCAATCTATTACATTTACATCTAATCAGAATTATCTGTGATTATACAAATCCTGGCTCATTTCCTGATAGATCAACCTCCGATAATCTGATAAAAAGGTTACTGAGCCTCTGGGGATTAACAGGAAGTAGCGTGAGACTTAAGGTGTCGAGGGTTTGAACCCCCCCCCCCCC